AGTTGACGACACTATAAAAATTTTTGATTCAGTTCTGTTGAAATAGAAATATAAATTAGTAAAAAAGTGGCAAAAATAGAAGACTGAAGTTCATTTAAGTAAACACATTGACATTGGTGTGCTGAATTTGCCCCAAGTACAAGTTAAGACTCTAGTTATATACATTGCTAGTTGGGAGTCATTTAACTTAATCTGAGATTTTCATCTGTTCCCCAACATCTTTATAGAATATTCCAAGTTAGCCGAGAAATCTTTCTTGTAAGGTCTAAAACGTTAGTCTGGGCATTCATGAAGATGAGTTAAAAATTTGCTTCATTACTGTGGATCCATTACTACGATTAGTTAGAAGAAAAGACATGTAGTTCTGGGGTCTTCCCTTTCTAACAAGACAAGATATTCTGTTCTAGAGGTGAATGAAGTTAACAGGGACTCTGCATCAAAAAAAAAAAAAAACCACCACCAGCAACAAAGGAAAGATAGAGTTTAGGCTCTGTCTTTAATGTGAGTGGGGAGTAGTGGAGACATACTAAATCCATTTCATCAGCTCTAGTGGGCCCTCATAAGTCTAGGACACTATGAGTGACATTGGTTGTGTGAGTGCATGGGAAAGGAGGTAAAGAGGAGAGCCACAGACCCCTGGAGGAAGTAAGCCTTTCTGTTGATTCTATGACTACAGCTGGAGATGACCCAGATGAACAGTAGATTGAGATACAGTCTACTCAGAGTTGTCTCTTGAACAGACAGGTTGGAAGGAATTTGATTACAGACCATATGCTGTCATTTGATCCACATCTGTACAAATTTGCACATTTGTGCATTTTCATATACATGCTCTTCTATTATTGTTTCCTCTTCTCTCTCCACTTCTCTCACCCTCCCACTCATTCCAATGTCTGCTCTTTCACTCCCATGGATCTGTGAGGTCACAGAGTCATCTAATATTCTTATCTTGTTTTCCTGTCTTACAAAATGCCAAACAAATTCCTGATTCCAGGCAATAGTTTTGCCACTTGGCTACTTTACTGCCATGGAGTGGTTATGAGATTAATGATATAAAACATGAAAGATGCCTAACAGCAAACCCTGTGAATGTAGCTGTCCATGACCTGGAGTGTTATCTTCCTGCACATCAGTGTGCCCTTGTCTTTGTTGTCACCATGGTGTGTGTCATTATACATTTGCACACAGAGTTCATTCATTTGTCAGAGATATACTGACTGACTGTGTGCCTGGAACCAGAAAATAAAATACCTTTCATGTTCTTTCTCTCATTCTTCCTCACAAAATATTTCTGAGGAGAAATAGTTTTCTCTTCCCATAGCTGAGGAGCTGAGGCTTCAAAAGTAAAACAACTTCCCCAAGAGACATGGCTAGTCAACCATAGAAGCATATGCTCATATAATCCCAGAGCTATGGAGATTTACACACACACACACACACACACACACACACACACACACCACTGTGGCCACTCTTCACTGCACTACTGCACTTTGCATATTAACAGGTGTTCAGGAGGTTGCATCTTCCTCTGGCTAAACAGACATTTTTGTTCCTCAGACTTTTTACATAAAAATGTAAAAAGTCCAGGCTTCTAACATGTACAAGGCCCTGGGTTTGATCTCCATCACTGTAAACTAACAAACAAGTTCAGGCTTGCTACATCAGACTTGCACAATCACTCCTCAACTTCTTCAGATAGTCCAATTTGTACTGTCTCCAGTATCCCATTGGATGGCTCAGGTTAGAGACCTTGCTTATTTTGTGTACTTATAGCCTTATGCCTCATTCTATGGACATATGGTTGATGTTTATTCCATTCATATAGGTTGAATATATGAATAAATGATTTGTAAGGAAACTTCCAGTAGTGAAGTGAATTGAACTTAATTTTAGTGGAGAAGATGAGATAAAAGTTCAGAAACACTACCATGAGAATAAAGTAAAACCCTCAACAAACACATGAACACAGACTCCCCTAATTATGAGTGCCTTTAGCTATACATATACCTGCTATCCCTGAACGCACAGACGTGGGCACACTCAACTTTGTCTATTTTACTATTTTTCAGTTTGTGAAGAAATATGGGAACATTTTTAGCCTGGTGTTTGCTTACATACATTCAGTACTTATAACAGGACTGCCTTTAATCAAAGAAGTCTTCACTAACACGGAACAAAACTTTCTGGACCGACCTATCTCACATATGAGACAACATACCTTTAATAAGAATGGTAAGTTTTTGCCACTAAAAAGTGTTCTTGAAATTCTTATGGTCTGATAAACTGCTTCTCTGTACCTTTAATTTACCAGTCCTCCCAGAAACCAGCCCTATTATGAAATGCCTTCCACTAAAGGAAATTGGATGCCCAAATTTCCTGATTAAGACCATCCCTCAGAGGATTTAGCAGGGTCAACCCCATAGAGCTTTGGAAGAAGTCGTATGTACTTCATAAATCCACTCTAGATGCTTCCATAAGGAAGTAACCACACTGCCCAGTTGTAGCTAGGAGGACACAATGTGTTCTTCTTTTTCTGGTTACAAATCTCTTCACTTAGGAAAATGGATATGGGTCTGCTTCCTTCTGCTACTGCCTTTTCTTCCCCTCTAGTTCCTTATTCTCTATCACTAATGCCTTCTCACACTGGGTACTCTAGCCTTTCAGTCAACATATAGCAGATTGGTATGAATACTCAAAATTATCATTAAATACATTTACACATTTAAAAGCTGAAATTAGAGCCTGAAGTCTATTGACTTAGATGGACCCCAGTTCCTCTTGGAAATAATTGATCAATTAATTTTATATCCATTCATTGTATTATTTGCTATGTGAAGCAGAGCATTAGGCATGAGTGATATAGCAGACAAAATCCATGATGTTATGGAATACATGCTCTATGCTGGAAAAAAGAACGGATCAGTTACCTATAATAAATAAAACCCTATATTGTTATAAAAATAAGTGTACAAAGTACTTTTCAGAAGCATGTAAGGTTGTTTTAGAATTCAAGAAAGTTATTGAAAGTGAATTACAATTTAAGAAAGTGAAGAAATAATCAAATAGAATAGAATAGAATAGTGTCCCTGAAAAGAGGACAATGACTTTGAGTAATTGAAATGGGTCCAGTGTTATAAATACAAAATTTAAAGATGATAATTAAATGCAGATGAAATGATGAACTTAGCCAGGGAAAGCATGTGCAAGTTCTTGCCAAACATATTGGTTTTTACCCTAATGAGAATAGATGCTCATAAATGGTTTTAAGTGAAAAAGGAAATCATATGCTGTATATGCTTAAGATTCATTTTTGAAGCCATGTAGAGAATAGCATAAAAACAGATGAGAAATTTTGCTTTATTGTTGGTTACTGTGGGTGTAGCTCAGACTAGGGAGGTGGCAGAAATGAGAATAGGTTAGACCAGGATAGATAGCTACATTGAGTAGACAGAGTGATATACAGCTATGGTCATGACTCCCACAAGGAAACATGATGGAGAGAGGAGCACTGAGATGAGTACAAGGTATTCAGTTGGGTTTGGCCTTTTTTTGGCTTCTGTAGATAAAATCATGAAGTCAGCTATGGCTGTGCAGAGGGTTGCCTGCATTTACATTGGCAAAGTCAAGCAACATATACATACATACATAAACACACACATGAGTCTGGAGCACAGAGACAGAACTAGATGGTGACTATCAAGAGATACTATTTAAAATTGGAGGAATTAATGAGTTTTTCCAGAAATGGAGAATGAGAAGAAAGGAGAGAAGGTTTTATAACTGAAGAATTCCACTATTTCAAGATTTAAAAAAAAAAAAAAACCACCAGAAAAATGAGTGGTTGATACAGAAAATTAGGAAGAAAATATGGAAGTGTGGTACTGGAGTTCCACTGGAAAGGATTGTTTCAAGAAAGAAATAATCTAGCTGCTGAAAGACAACTTGAGGCAAAGTTGAGTGGGTTCCCTGGACTTCACAACAAAGATGGCAATTTCATTGGGATGGTGGAAGCCAAGGCCGATATTAAAAGGTGTTGAGAAGTCTGCAAGTGAAGAAATGAAGCAAGGCATAAACAAAACGGCAGGGGCATGAAACAAGAGCTAGAGCACTTCAATGTGAATCTAAGGTCCTGGGTTGAATTGCTAATAATACAAAAAAGTGAAGAAATGCTTCATTTAAAGCTTAAAAGAAATGACGGTCTGTTGAGAACACCAGGCTGTTCTTCTCTTTTCCTTTGATGCTCTTTCTGTATGGAATATGTACCCTCTTTCCTTCTTGAATCATTCTTCATCTTTTAAGGCTTTCCATGGATAAGACCTTCTGTAAAGCCTTTCTTTGCCTTCTAAAGCATACAGATCATGGCTTACTCAAGAGTGCTTTTTGGTATTCAGCTTAACATAAATAGTGCTTTATACTCATGTGACTACTAATCAAATCATAAGCTTTGAAATCAGGACAACTTGCATTCGAACACCTGATTAGTAACTTAGTACTTGTGTGTCCTTGCACAGTTTACTTTATTCTTTCCCTGCTTCTCAGTTTTCACATCACTAAAACTGAGTCAGAGTGTGGTACTCAACCTGTAGAGTTTGTGTGAGTACTGAATTACATAATACATTAAAATGCATAGTAAAAGAACCTGATAGTACAAGCTGCTGCAGTGTCAGACAGTATGTTCATTGCTTTAATACTGTTTCTTTGAATAGTTTTCATATACCTTTATGTCTCTTCTTCTTTCCATGTGGTACACATTTCTGTATCATTTGCAAAATATTTATGTAAAGAATCATACCTTAATCTTGACTTTCATTTCCCAGGCTTGCTCATGTCCAATGGTCAGATATGGAAGGAGCAAAGAAAGTTCACCTTGACAACACTAAGGAACTTTGGTTTAGGAAAGAAGAGCTTAGAACAGCGCATTCAGGAGGAGGCTCAGCACCTTGTTGAGGCCATACAAGAAGAGAATGGTGAGCATTTTCGTGGAACTGGTCCAAGATGTTGTGACCCATTCATTCATTAATCAGATGCTTTTAAGTGCCTAATAAGTGAACATCCCTGTGCTAGGCAATGAGTATAGAACAGTGAACATCTAGCCATGACCCTGCTCTAGGAGTGCTAAAATTAAGCACAAAAGGAAAGAAATTAATCACAATACTGAATTTAACCCTGCTGATCATTTTGACTTGCCTGACATTGACTTGTGTCCTTTCTGTTTGTTAGAAACTGTTTAGGTTAATGTAGCCATGTTTATCTACAAGGTGTGTCTTGTGTCATATTGAGTAGACTATCTAAAGAATCTAGAAATAATCCAATGACCTGAAAGGATCCATCTCTCCCTTCTTCCACTTCCAGGTCAGCCTTTTGATCCACACTTCAAGATAAACAATGCAGTTTCCAATATCATTTGCTCTATCACCTTTGGGGAGCTCTTTGAGTATGAGGATGATCAGTTTCAGGAGCTGCTGAGGTTACTGGATGAGATCTTATGTTTGGAAGCATCAGTGATGAGTCAGGTAAGCAGTTTGACTTCCCATATCTTGGATAAGGAGATAAGTTTCTCCCATTTGCTTTTTAAAACTTTTTTTAAACTAAAATATCCTACATTGAGTTTCATACAAAGTTATATGAAATCCTTTAACTGACTCTGTATTTTTCAATAATATGAAACAGTCACTATATAAAAAAGCATTCTGAGCATTCATGCAAAGTTCAAAATTGCCCATGATATAGTGTGCATGTAGGCTTAGCTTTTAAAGAGAACAACCAATATTGCCATTGCCTCTGAGCCTCTTCTTTCTAATTCATCCCAACATATCTGTCCTCCTACTCCCTTAGAGGCATATTCTGAGCCTTTCCTGGAGCTTTATGGACCCCAGCAGAGCAATTGATAAATCCAGTAAGCTTGACTTCTAGCAAATAGAAAAAGGCATAAAGAATAAGAAATAGAGAACTCTAGGGTAAGATGGCAAAAAAAGCAGCTTCCTTCATGTGACTCTGTGAATGAAAAAGTCAGGGTATTGAAGGACAGACTTTATTCCAGGGAGAGAAAGAAGAAGAGCATCAGGAATCACAAAAGAGGCAACAGTACAGCTGAAAATTCAGGAGAAAAACAAAGACAGGAAACCACCTGCAACACCAACTCAGTTCCTAGGTAGGGCTGGGGAGCCAAAGTTACAACCACAAGGTAAACTATGAGGCCCTGATGAAACACTAGCCATCCTAACCATAGGACAAAATACTGTTCTCTGAAGTCTTAACTCCAGTGAAGGGATTTGCTGCAACAGTGACTTCTCCAGCATTGAAAAGGAAATCCATTTTCTCACTCCCCACATCTCAGAGAGCTATAGCCGTGTACCATCTTGATAGGTGCCCTGTTGTCTAAAACCAAACTACTCTCAGAACTAACAACAAGGAACAAACACAAGTTAGAGTCTGGGAACACCCCCTCCTTCAGTTTTTTGAGAGGTGGTAATATGGAGAGAGATTGTGAGAGTCTCAGTCCCATTAAGAGTCTGGGCAGAGAGAAGCTCAGAATATGAAAAGTGCCATATTCTATGGCTCCTCCTCTGTGGCAAGGAGCAAGCCCCATGACCTATGCATCACTACAGAGACTGAGAAATCCAAGCTAAAGCTTGGGTTACTCAGTCTCCCAAGCTGCCTCACTGGTAGCTCAGGTCTAGTGGACTCCACTATATACCAGGGGTTTTATTTGTTTGTTTTGTTTTGTTTTTATTATTGTGCTAGGTGAGAATACATTGTGGCATTTACAAATGTCTTTACAATATATCAAATATATCATACTTGAATTCACCCCCCTCCATCATTCTACCAGGGTGTTTTGCTACTTGGAAGTATCTGAAAGCTCTGAAACCAGTAGACTGAGAAGTCTAGGCTGCAGAGTTTACATTATGAAGGGCACAGTGATTGGTGGTGCCACTCCTGTGATGAAGAGTGAGTCCAAGTGCCAGTGTATCACCAGAGATTGAGGGAGCCAAGCATGAGCTCCTGGTCAGAGTATTGTTCTGGTTCCCTGCTGATCTCATGTCCAGTGAACCGTAATATTTCCCTACCTTTCTCTCTCTTCTCAGGGAGATTTTCTGCTCGGCAGATCTGAAAGCTCTGAAACTTGTAGGCAGAGCACCTGGTTTCCTTTCTTCAGTTCTCCCCCTTCAGTGTAGAAATTAGGGCTCTGTTTTCTCCCTCACACTCTGGCACACTCATGAAAAACCCCTAGCCACGGACATTTACTCCCCTTGAGATCACAAACTGTAGAGTCTGGGGTAAGAAGGAACCTGCCCAACCACAGGCTGCAGAACTCCTTGGGGCCAGCAGTGGCTGCAGATATGCAAAGAAAGGAAACTTCTAAAGTGACTACAGACCTGACACAACTGCTCCTTGACAGCTCTAGCTTTCAAACTGTATGCAGCACCATCCTGACACAATTGTTGCTATTATAGCACTTTGTTTTCTCCTCTTTGAGTAATACTGGAGATCGAGCCTTCAAGTGAAGGTTGCTTTTTATGAATTAAGCCATATAAAATTGGAAGAGATATCCACCCCAACAGATGCACAAATCACAGCCTAGAAACACAAGAAAAGTGAAATGTGAGGCAATATTTCCCCTCCAAAATCTTATAACTCCCTAATAACTGAATTCAAAGACTGAAATGGCTGAAATGCCAAAAAAAAAATTCACAATGCCTAATTTGAAAAAATGATCAATGAACTCAAAAAGAATTCAAACAAACAGATGAATGAAGTAAAGGAGTCAATTCAAGACTTAGATGAAAAAAACCAGAAACAATTTTGGCATTTTATAAAAAAAGGCAACAAAAAAACCCAGAAATGATGGAAATGAAAAAACTAAATGAATCAAATTTTAAAACACAGTGAAAATCTTCACCAATAGCCTAAACTAAGCAATAGAAAGACTATGAGGGATTGAAGACAAAGTCATGGAAATGCTACATTCAGATAGCATAAAGGAAAAAATTAAGATGCATAACCACAACTTTCAAGAACTCTGGTACATGATCAAGAGATCACATTAAGAATTTGTGGGATAGGAGATGGATCTAAGAAACAAACTAAAGGCACAAAAAAGTTACTCAATGAGATCATAGCAGAAAATTTCCCAAGTCTAGGGAAAAATATGAATATTCAAATATAGGAAGCATATAAACCCAAATTAAACATGACCAGAAAAGAAATTCTCTACATCATATTATAATCAAAATGTTAAGAAACCAAACAAAGAATCAACATTCAAAGATGTAAAATAAAATTGCCAAATCATTTACAAATGCAAACCCCAAATTACATGAGACCTCTCAGCAGAAATTCCAAAAGCTAGAAAAGCATGGAATGGTATAATTCAATCTCTAAAAGTAAATAAATATCAAACAGGATTACTATCTCCAGAAAAGTTATCATTTAATATCAGCAGAGCAATAAAGAACTTGCAAGTGTAGGAAAAATTAAAGTAATTCATGACCACACAGTCAGTATTACAGAAGATACTTAAAGGAATCCTACACACATAACAAAGAAATTTGCAAATGTGAGGAAAAAATAAATTTTAAAAGAAGAATAGATAAACAAAAGAAAGAAAGAATCAAAATGTTCAATTCAGCAAACTCCTAACAGAGACAACTTAGAAAGAAAAGAACAAACAGCAATTGAATAAACCAAGGGGGAAAAACAGTGAAGTCAGTGCACACTTTTCAATAATAATAAGTGCAAATGGTCTTAATTCTCTAATTAAAATATACAGATTGGCTTATTGGATTAAGAAACAAGACTTAACTCTTTGTTGTGTTCAAGAACTACACCTCACTAGCAAAGACACACAAAAACTGAAAGTGAAAGGATAAAAACAATCTACCAAGCAAGTAGATACCAAAAGGAAGGAGGAACAGCTATATCTGATAAAGTAGACTTCAAGGTAAAATTGTTCAGAAGAGATAAAAAAGGTCACTATATATTAATAAAGAGAATAATGCATTAAGAAGATATACACTTATATGTATCAATTATTGCCACATTCAATTTCATAAAACAATTGTTATTGTGTACAAAAAGGATAGATAAGTCCAGATACAAACATAGTAGATGACTCCAGTACCCTACTCTCATAAATAGACAAATCATTCAGACAAAAAAAAATCAACAAAGAAACTTGAGTTAAATTTCACCTAGAACATATAGACTTAATAGACATCCACAGAATATAGCAACCACAGCCACAGAATATGCATTTTTCTCAGAAGTCCTGGGAACTTTCTCCTAAATAGATCACACTTTAGTTCATAAAGCAACTTTTAACAAATACAAGGAAAGTAAAATAGTTCCTTGTATCAGATCATAATGGAATAAAATTAGACATCAATAGCAAGAGAAACTATGGGGACTATACAAAGGCACAGAGATTAAGATTGTCAAAACCTTTGCCAAAGTAACCAGAAAAAGGGAGAGGAGACCAAATTAATAAAACTAGAGATAAAAGGGGAGATGTTACAATAGATGCCAATGAAACTCATAGGATATAGTTTGTGAATATATATTCTGATAAATTAGAAAATCTATAAGAAAGAGATAAATTTTTAAACGCATATGACCTTCTGAAATTGAAGAAGAAATGAATAACTTATACCAATCTGTAATGAACAATGAGATTACAGAAGTAATAAAGAATGTCCAGAAAAAGAAGAGCCTAGGACTGCTGGATTCACTGCTGAATTCTACCAGACCCTTAAGAAAGAACAAACATCAATGTTTCTCAAGGTTGATTAATATACATGCAAAAATTGTTAATAATACACTTGCAGATCAAATTTAACAATACATTGAAAATCTCATTCACCAGGAACAAGTTAGTTTCATTATAAGAATGCAAAGATGCTTCATAATATACATAATACAGCACATAAATAGAATCAAGGATAAAAATCACACTTTGACAAATTTCAACACCTCTTCATGATAAAACCCGTAAAAAGCTAAGAATAGAAGGAATATACCATAACATAATACAGGCAACATGCAAAAAAAACACATATAGCCAACATTTTATTAAATGGGGAAAAAATGAAAACATTTCCTCTGAAATCAGGAATGAAATAAGAGTGTCCAGTCTTAATGAATATAGTGTTCAACTTCTTAGAGCAAAAGGCAACAGAAAGAAACAACAGGGATCCAAATAGGAAAGGAATAAGTCCAGTTATTCCTCTTCAGCCTATACTTAAAAGACTCTAAAGACTCCATGAGAACACTCTTAGATCTGATAAACACTTTCAACAAAGTATCAGGATAAAAAATTTGCATAGAAAACTCAGTAGTACATAACTATAACAAACATGCTCAGAAAGCAATCAGTAAAACATTCCCATTCATGATGGTTTCAAGTAAAATAAAATACCTAGGAATCAACTTAACTAGGAAGGTGAAAGACTTCTAAAATTAAAATGATAAAACACTAATGAAAGAAATTTAGAAGGCAGTAAGAAATGGAAAG